TGTTATATACATATTATTTATGACATATTTTAATCGCTGTTACTACGGGGGTTTAAAATGTGCATGTATATATGTAGTGTGTGTGTGTGTGTGTATGTGTGTAGAACATTTAGTAACATAGTATTTCACCACAAACTACAGTAGAAACTAATTTTCTGAGACAGGGATGTTTTGAAATCTGAGTTCATAACCATTACTAACAAACAGCCGTTTGAGCTTTATGGCCTATGAACATTTTGCAACACACCCCTCCCTTATTTCACTTACTTAATGGTGCCCTCACATCGTCTTGGATTTAAATTTCCAAACCCTGCCTGGAGTTGCTTAGCCTTCCTCCACAGCTGACAGTTTTACCCCAAGGTTAACAGCAGAGGCCTGAGGCTTCCTTAAAGCCGTGTTGATGATTCTCCCTAACCCTTTCCTCTGTTTCTCACAGAAGCAGCGTGGGCTAGAAGGAAAGGGGACACCCTCTGCAGAGGCGCTGACCTACGCAGGGGCCCCTAGAAGGGTGGCAGGTGGGCCTGAGCAGCCTTCTGGGCTCCCAGACAGGCGGGAGGATGGCAGGGGTCCTCCTCACAGAATCCCCGATGGGAAGCCCATGAAGCAGCTCCCTCCTGGGGATGAAGCTGAAGCCAGGAGGAGCCACCACCCCTCGTAGACTCCCCTCTCAGAGGGAAGCCCCTCCCCAGCCATTTCGTCTGTGCTCTGAGCCTGTATCCCCACCAGTGGCCCTTACTTATTACTCAGCCCCAGGCCTAAGCTTAGGCAGTTTACAGGCTGAGTCGAAGCTGTGTTTCTATGACTAAAACAACAACAACAACAAAATACTTCTGGTTTTATGACTTGCAAACACAGCAATCCATATTTATATACAGTTTTTAAAATAATATTCTTTTCTTTTTAAAATGTTTTTATCGTTGTTGGTTTTTTGTTTTTTTGTCTCTTAGAGAGAAAGGGGCAGGGAAAGAGAGAGAGACAGAAACATCGATCAGGGCATTGAACCCACAACCTGAGCATGTGCCCTGACCAGGAATCGAACCAGTGACTTTTGGTGAATGGGACAGCGTGCAACCAACTGAGCCACACCGGCCAGGGCTTTATATACAGTTTCACCACATGACTCTCATAATAAAGTGTTCAGGGTAGATTTTTTTAAAAGGGGATGTGGGTGGGGTCTCCCATCAAGTGAAGATTGTCACCTTCTTTACCTCCCTTTACCATATCACAGGCTTAGGGAGATTAAATGAAATCACAACTATGTGACTCTCTGCACCACGCCCAGCAGTCATGTATTTGCAATTATTATTCACGAGGGGGGCATTGCAGGGGCTGTCATCATCGGTCCTGTATTCACATCCACATGGTCCTTTTCCTAATCTGTGCTCTTAAGTTATCCATGGGTTTATCCAAGGGTGGTGTTTGTATCAATGATCATTTGCAAATTTCTGCAAATAACATGAATGGAAAACAACAACAGAAGGTCCAATCAGGGAGTGACAGATACAGGTAGAGAAGCTGGCATGTGCCCTATTGATAGCCTTAGCCTTAGCCTCTCTTTCCCGGGTCAGTCGGCCTCAGGAGCGTCTCACCACTCTCATGACTTCTTTCTGCCCAATAAAATGACCTCCTCCCTGAGGACAGGAGTGTTCCATCCCTACTTAGCCTCTCTTTCCCGGGTCAGTCGGCCTCAGGAGCGTCTCACCACTCTCATGACTTCTTTCTGCCCAATAAAATCCTGCCTGAGGACAGGAGTGTTCCATCCCTGCTTCAAAGTCCACCCGCCCAGTGGTTCCAGCCATTGCTCTGGGGAAAAGAAGGAGGAATCATTCGTGTGTTTACTCATTGATCCAACAAGTAGTTTACAGGCCCTGGACTAGGCACGAGGGGTACAACCCTAACACGATACGGTCTCTGCCCTCCAGATGCTTACAGGCAGGGGGTGGAGGGGCATGAGGGGAAGCTTCCGGTCAAGTAAGGGGTGACTCCTAGGTACCTGCGTTGAGCAATCGTATTAATGTTCCTGCCACCACTACTGAGACTACAACACAATAGGACATGCTAGGTGTGAGGTAGTGGAGTCAGAAGAGAGCTGAGCGTGTGAGCCAGGAGCTGGGGAGGGAGAGCGGGGTGAGATAGCAATTGAAGAGTTAGGCACTGATGGCCCAGGATGTGGGCCAAGAACAGAAACCTGGAGAATTCTTTTTTGTTTGTTTTTAATATGTCTTTATTGATTTCAGAGAGGGAGAGAGAAACATTAATGATGAGAGAGAATTATTGATTGGCTGCCTCCTGTATGCCCCACACTGGGGACCGAGCCCACAGCCAGGGCATGTGCCCTGACCGGTAATTGAACCGTGACCTCCTGATTCATGGGTCAACACTCAACCACTGAGCCACGCCAGCTGGGCAGAGAATTCTTGATGTGTAAAGCATGGCTTCACATTTCTCTTCTCCAATGTCCTTCTATTTAAAGACATAGAAACTGGCTGGAGAGAGGAATGGGCTTTGTGATGACGCCCCAGTACTAGGATTACTGTCGCCACCAACAGCCCGTCCGATCACAGGCCACCACAGATAGACCTGTGCATATGTGAGGATTGTTTATATCAGCATTGTTTGTACGTGCAAGACTGGGAACAGCTCAGATATTTATCAGTATGGCTCATCTATAAATAGACTGTACTACAACCATTGGAAGATTAAGCAAGTTCTTTAAGCACTGATTTGTATCACTTGGGAATTTACACTGTTTTAGGAGCTCTGTGCCAGGAACCAGGGGCTGGTCCCCAACATTGGTGAAAAAAGAAAAAAAGTTTCCAGTTATTTCTAGATTGTCAGAGGGGCTGGTCCCCAACATTGGTGAAAAAAGAAAAAAAAAGTTTCCAGTTATTTCTAGATTCTCAGATGCTCTAGACTAGCGGTTCTCAGCCTGTGGGTCGCGACCCCTTTGGCGGTTGAACGACCCTTTCACGGGAGTCGCCTAAGACCATCCTGCATATCAATTTACATTACAATTCATAACAGTAGCAACATTACAGTTATGAAGTAGCAACAAAAATAATTTTATGGTTGGGTCACAACGTGAGGAACTGTATTTAAAGGGCCAGAAGGTTGAGAACCACTGCTCTAGACCAAGATCCAGGACTGTCAGGTGTGTACCTGTGTATACAATGTCCTCGTGTTTTCCCCTTAAATCTTGTCTTTTCTCTTATAACAACGAACATGAAAGTCTTACAATGAAGAGAAGAGGGTCTAGGAACTTGCTTTCACGGACAGCAGGGGAGTGTGGACGTACGGAGATCATCTTCCCTGAGCCCAGCTTGAAGGGAAGAGAAAGCCCACAATCTGGAAAGGCGATGACCATTACTAAGAGAGAGAAGGAGGTGGTGGGGAGTCCCTGGGACCTGCCACAGAGAAAAAGGAGAGCTCGAGGAGCCTGCCTGGGCCTGTGGACTTCCCTGGGGGCTTAGGGGGAAGGGGTTCCTCAAATGCAGGGGTAAATAAGTTTTACGCAGTAACAGGATTAAATTTGAAACTGTTACAGGTGAGGTGTGACTAGCCCATTCTTGAATCACAGAGAGCTAGTTTTTTCTTTTTCCTTCTCAGCAGGTATTATTTTACTTTCATTGTTACTAAAATAGCACAAAGGAACACTTCTATGTGTTGTCTTCCCTGGTGCTGATCTTAGAGCAGCACTGAACATGCTAACCCCGTGCTGATCTCAACACTGCACACCAGGGAAGATTATATCTGCCATTCCTTCTCCCCTTTCCTCCTCGATTCTAACGACTCGCTGTGTTTAACCCCAGTTTTGCCTGCTCTTTGCCAGAAAGATCAGTAAACATAGATGGCTCTCTCAGCTGTAGGCAGGCAGCCGAGGGTTCAGGGAGGTGGAAGATTCCAGCTTTGCTCTCAGGGAGCCTGCGTTTTCATCAGAAGACAAACAATGACGTTCAGAAACAAATGCTAAATGCCAAGAGCATAGGTATGTACCGTGCTAAGCCAGAGGCCTTGATAGAAATCCAGCCGAGGCAGAAACCCCCGAGGGTCAGGCTCCTTACAGAACGTGGGCCTCGAAGGTCGGGTTGTATTTAGAGGAGCAAAGAGAGCAGGTGAGGTCGGACCAGTTGGTGTGATGCACCTTTGTGGACTAGGAGGACAGGAGACAGCAGTCATCGGCTGAAGCAATTTCTGAGTTCCCCCAGAGGAGCAGAAACCCTGTGTGTTGCACACGTTTCTAACAGAGCATTAAGGGGTCTTAACAAATGATCTGCTGCTGAGACCTGCCAGCTGAACACGGAGGAATAGGAGGGGGATTGTGCTCGGGGAAGGCCACGGCATCTGTGTCTGCTCAGTCTCCTGATGTCTGTGCACGCGGTAGGAGCCAAAGCAAGGGTGAACGTACAAGTACAAGTTTCCTGCAAGCTCAACGCATATGCTTTCTCTCCATTCTTTCCTCTTCCATTTCCTGCTACGGCCAGACGCAGAGGAGAAAGCCTTCCTCACCGTGAGTTTTGTTTGGAAGGTCAGCCTGTGACATTCGCCTTTTCAGAGAGAATGTGTGCATGCCCAGATTAGTAGGGAGTATAAAATATGGGCGCTTGATACTCACCCGGCCTAAGAATCCCAAGTCTCCAGCCCCAGCCCTAACACCTTCTCACTCTGTGAACGTGGGCTGGCCCTGCACCTGCCTGTTCTTTGGTTTCATGTATTTGTGAAAGGGAGGTACTCAGACCTCCCTGCCCACCTCGCAGAGTTCCCTGAGGTTCAGATGAAATCATGGCTGTGAAAGCACCCTGGAGACGAAAGAAGTTATTATTAGCAGCTCACGGCGGAGATTGCATGGGGATAAGGGGTGGTGAAATGGGGAAGTCTCAATAAATCCCACCCAGTCCTATGATTTTACACAATGGTTTTACATCATTAAAATACGTTTAATTATATAGCTTCCTTTGATGTTTCAATGACTCTCACTCTAATGATATCTTTCTCCTCCCTAGGTGTCCCTGAGTGCAGAACCCAGCTCCCCTCTGCAAGTCCCAGCTCAGCTTGCCTGGCCTCCTCGTCGGTTGGCGGGGCTCCCAGCCACCGAGGCAGCCACGAAAGTTCTCATGCAGCATCTTCAGAGACACTCTGGCCTTCGGTCGTTGCCCATCCAGGCTTCAGAGCTGAAGCTGATTTAAAAATGTGAAAAGAGCTCTGGCCAGTGTGGCTCGGTTGGAACGTCATCCAGCACACCAAAGGGTTGCGGGTTTGATCCATACAGGACTGATAGATGTTTCTCTCTCTCTCTCTCTCTCTCTCTCTCTCTCTCTCTCTCTCCCTCTCTCCCCTCCCCCTCCCTCCCCTCTCCCTCCCTCTCTCTAGAAATCAATAAAACATATCCTCGGGTGAGGATTTTTAAAAATGTCAACAGATTTTTATAGAAATGACAAGATGCTCCACACTTGGAGCATTGGATATTACTTGGCTCCGCTATAGAAACTGTTGGTGGCCCTGGCTGGTGTGGCTCAGTTGGTTGGGCATCGTCCTGTGCATGGAAAGGTTGCCAGTTCGATTCCAGGTCAGGACACATGCCCGGGTTGCGGGCTTCATCCCTGGTAGGAGGTGTGCAGGAGGCAGCCCATCAATATCTGGTTCTCCACATTGATGTTTCTGTCTTGCACTCTTCCTTCCTCTCTGTCTAAAAATCAATAAAAAATCTTTAGAAAGAAACTGTCGGCAGTAGGTACTTTATTGTGAAGGTGAGTTCTACAGTATTTCAGCAAAAGGTATTCATGGCATAAATGTTGACATACTTACAAGCATGGATGGGAATGTGATGATAGAGGTTAATAAAGGATCATGTGATAGTACCATTGGTAATATCAGGTGTACGAGGCAGGGTCCCGGAAGGATGCACTCAGCACACCTCCGAGGCTGCTTGAGCAGTTTGATGTTCATACACTACATCCTATTTACCAGGGTGTCTTAATTTGCTAGGCCTTCCATAACAAAGTTGTGCGAGCCACGTCCCGAGTGGTTCAGTGTTCGGGATCTAGAGAAGGGCCACACGCAAATGACAGAGATGAGACAAGAAATAATAATTTGGAAATATTGGGGGCCAGGCGGGAAAACCAATGCAAGGGGAAGGACTTCCCCTGGTGCCCAGGCCTTGCCAATCTTTTATTCAATTTTGGATACACATATAGCCCTTACACAGGCAGGCAATTCCGGTAACAGACAGACTATCTTAAAGGTCAGTAAATATTAGTAAAGATTTACTCTGAGACTATTTGGTCAGGAAATTGCTTGAGCTACCATTGTCTCAACTAAACAATCGGTGCATAGCTCTGGCCCTTGCCAGGGCTCAAGGTTCACCAGCATTCAGGCTCCTTGTTTATACTTCTCTGATAGTGAAGACATGGGTAGACCGGTAACAGACAGACTATCTTAAAGGTCAGTAAATATTAGTAAAGATTTACTCTGAGACTATTTGGTCAGGAAATTGCTTGAGCTACCATTGTCTCAACTAAACAATCGGTGCATAGCTCTGGCCCTTGCCAGGGCTCAAGGTTCACCAGCATTCGGGCTCCTTGTTTACACTTCTCTGATAGTGAAGACATGGGTAGCTTCCCACACAAAGTATCACTGTCTTAGTCTGCTCAGGCTGCTATAACAAAAATACCATAGGTGGGTTGCTTATAAACAATAGACATTCATCTGCTCACAGTCTGGAGGCTGGAAAGTCCAAGGTCACAGTGTCATAAGGGTTGATTTCTTCTGAGGCCTCCCTCCGTGGCTTGCAGATGGCTGCCTCCCCACTGTGTCCTCACATGTGTCCTCTCTGTGTCCCAATCCTCCCTTATTATAAGGACACAAGTCAGATTGGATGGGGGCCCACCCACATGGCCTCAGTGAGCCTTACTTACCTCTTTGAAGACCCTATCTCCAAAGACAGTCACATGCTGAAATCCTAGGGGTTAGGGCTTCAGCATGGGAACTTTGGGGGGCGGGGGGACACAATTCACTCGCTGGGCAGGATTAAAAGAATCAAGATGAGATAGTGAAGCACCCAGGAAGTAGCAACTACAGAAACCTTTATTGTCCTTTGGCCTGAAGAGGCAGATGGGAAAGGACACGTTGTTCCTAGAACCCAGTGAGAACTGTAGTCAGGGGAGAGGCCACCCAATAGGGTGTGTGCTGTGTGGTGGGGAACACAGCCTACGGGGGCAGAGAACACTCGACCCCCCTCTCTCCCCACCTTTGACACTCCAATAGCACTTCCCTTTGGTCAATCTCACCTGAAAGTCAACAGCAAAGACGCCAGGGGCACAGCTCTTAGATGTCAGCTTCTGAGGCAGGTAGTGGAGCTGAGGAGTGTGGCCAGGAGTGGTCGGGGAGGGAAGGATATGAGTGGGACAGTGAAGAATACCCAGCACAGTGGGGTAACATGTACATTTCCAAATATTCAATGGATGGGCATTTAAGAGTTATTGGAAAACATAAAATGTTATTTAGCTGCAAAAATAGTAGTCACACATTTTCAACTAAACCATTTAAGGTCATGTAACTATTTTAAGGTCCCAGAAGTGACCATTCTAGGATACTTAGTTACCCAAGTAAAGCAGAATGATAGACAATTAAATGATTGTCAACCATGTAATATTGAACACTAATGTTCATCTATAACAGCGGTTTTCAACCTGTGGGTCGCGACCCCTTTGGCGGTCGAACGACCCTTTCACAGGGGTCGCCTAAGACCATCCTGCATATCAGATATTTACATTACGATTCATAACAGTAGCAACATTACAGTGATGAAGTAGCAACGAAAATAATTTTATGGTTGGGTCACAACATGAGGAACTGTATTTAAAGGGCCAGAAGGTTGAGAACCACTGCTCTATAATAATGAAAGCCTAAAATGCTAATTAGACCTGATGTCCTTCCGGACGAAGTCATGGTGGGCAGGGGCCGAGACATAGCGGCTGCGGCAGTGGCTGGGTCCGAGCCCCTTGCACGAATTTCATGCATCAGGCCTCTAGTCCTATATAATAAAAGCTAATATGCTAAGTGTCTGACAGTTTGTTCTACTATTCGACCAGTTGCTGTGACACGCACTGATCACCAGGGGGCAGATGCTCTGACTGAAAGTTAGCTTGCTGCTGGGGTCCAGCAGGTCGGGACTAGGCGAGACAGGCCAGACACTTCCTAGAGCCCTTCCGAGGTCCCTCCCTGGCCCCAATCGTGCACCAGTGGAGTCCCTTGGCCTGGCCTGCGCCCTCTCGCAATTCGAGACCCCTCAGGGGATGTTGGAGAGCCACAGGCCAGGCCGAGGGACCCCACCAGTGCATGAATTTGTGCACCAGGCCTCTAGTATACTATAATATGGTTTTAAAAGGTGGCCTGAAATAAAAACAAACAAACAAACAAACAAACAAACAGTGGCCTGACATGATGGTAGAGAATGGTGGTTTGGATGCCCAGATGATCGGTGGAGGACATAACATGACTAATTCACGATTGATTCATTTGTACCACCAGAGGGAAGTTCACACGTACCCCGGGGTAGAGAAGAAAGCAAACACACCCAGATGAGACCTTGAGATCATCCCTTGGGCAAAGCTGGTGCTGTGATTTAGGGTTTCCTCTTCCTGGATCCTGAGCCCTCATTGTTGGCTCCTAGAGACCAGGGGCAGCTGTGTAAGTGGGAGAGAGCTGTAGCTCCAGGATTCTGCACACTAAACCGCTATGGTTGCCTGGCTGGTATGGCTCAGTGGTTGAATGTCGACTTCTGAACCAGGAGGTCATGGTTCCATTCCCGGTCAGGGCACATGCCCAGGTTTCGAGCTCGATCCCAGTAGGGGGCATGCAGGAGGCAGCTGATCACCATTGATGTTTCTACATCTCTCTCCCTCTCCCTTCCTCTCTGAAATCAATAAAAATATATTTTTTAAAAAGTCAATAAACTGCTGTGGTTATTGCAGGAGCCAGTCATGCTGTGGGCAAATGTTTGAACAGGCCAGTCTGGAGAATGAGCCCAGCTTCTGGAACAGACAGGTTCTCCTGGAACAAGGACATATCAAGAGAAAGACAGACCTGCCCAGTATGCGTGGCTACCTCCTGTCTTAAGCTGTATTTGGATTATCTATTTCTGTGAAGTTACTCCCAAACTTTGTTGCTATGACAACAGTCTGTTCTGCTGGTGAATCTACAGCTTGGGAGGGCTCTTGGGGAGAGCCTGTCTCCAACCCAGACAGCATCCTGTCTCCTCCCCACCGAGGCTGGAAGATCCACTCCAAGACGGGGCAGGGACAGGCCTGGAGAGTTGGTGCTGACGGTCCACTGGGGGCTCAGCCAGGGCTGAGGCCGGGCCTTTGCTTCTCCCTGTCTGGGCGGGAATTCTCTCAGCAGGGGCGAGGTTCTAAGGGTGAGCAGCTCAAGAGACAACCAGTGGGAATCTGAACCACCTCTTTTGTCCTGGCCTTGGAAGTCTCACCGTGTCACTCGTCATCCCCTGGTGACCACAGAGGCTTGTCCAATTCCAGCAGAGGGGCATCCACTCGGGGGAGTTACAGGTTTTGGTGTGTCTTCTTATAAGGACACGAATCCTATCAGGGTGGGGTTCAGGGCTCCACCCTTATGACCTCATTTAACCTTGATTACTTCCTTAGAGGCTCCGTCTCCAAATAGAGCCACTCTAGGGGTTAAGACTGCAACATAAAAATAAAAGACTTCAACGTATGAATGTGGGGGAAGGGAGACACATAAATATTCAGTCCATAACATCCCTATGGTGATGTGAATTAGACAACAAAGATAAATTTATATTGATATTAATTCAAGAAAACTTTATTGAACACCTACTGTGTGTCAGACTCTCTGCTAGGCTCTGGGGGTATAGGTAGGAGAAAAAAACTGTTCCTGCCTTTAATGAGTTTATGAGTATGAGGGAGAGAGAGCAGCCAGGAGATACAGTGACAGCTGTAAGGAGAGCGTGCTGTGACAGCTCCCAGAGGGACAAATCAACCAACCACTTCACGGGGAGGTGCACAAGCAATGTCCAAGCAGAGACCAAGGTTGAGTCGTATGGAGTAGGGAATAGGCGGTGGAGAGACAAGGGGAGACATTTTGGGGAGAAGAATAAGAGTTGCAAAGACCCAAGGCAAAACTAGGGTGACCACCATCCTGGTTTCCCAGGACTGTCCTGGTTTAACATTCCAAGTCCCACATCCAGGAGATGCCTTAGTTAAGTACTGGT